GGTGAAGCCGTTCGTGCAGAGTGTGACGCCGGTGGTGGCGCTTCTGCCCGTGGTGGTGGCACGCTACCTGGGCATGGAGATCCTTCTGGCGGAGCTGCTGCGCACGGTGGTGGCCTGCTCCCTGGTCAACGTGCTTCGTGGGCGGACGCCGAGTTCGGGCCTGGCGACGAGCTCCACGCAGCAGCTCACGACTTGGAGTACCAGAGCGTGCAGAGCATGCCGACGGAGCTCGCGTCCCAGTCGAGCCAGTGTCGCAGGGGCTTCCGCCGAGGAGCTAGCGGGTTTGTGTCGTGTCGACGCGGGGGCCGAGCGCCAGGCCGAAGCCGAGCGCAAGGCAGGTGCCGCAGGCGACGCGGACAACGGCAACAAGCAGGGCGTCCAGGAGGTCGCGGGCGACGGGGCCCTGGACCCCCTGCTCCGCGCCGAGATGGAGGCCAGAATGAAACGTGCGTGTCCGAGCCTTACCCCTGAGATGCTTCGAGCTGTGGCAGCGGTGCGGCTGAAGGCAGACATGCATAGTGCTGAGGCGTCTTAATATTCGGTTGATGCGGTACATATCACGTCGGCACTCTTCAGTCTTGTGCATCTCGCATATTTATAGTTGCGCTCGCTTTGTTATGTCCATAGTGCATTGTATCTCTTGTGTACATGTCATCTTATGTTGGCCTGCTGTTGATTAGCATGTGCTGTCTCGAATATCGCACAGACTCCTACGTGCCCGTAGTTATTGTGCCAGAGCCGCAGATTGTTCAGAAGATGCTGTGGTGTACATTTCGCCTTTGCGTGTGTCTCTGCTTTCTGTCGGCGCGTGTGCGTGTGTGCGTTGTGCGTTGCACGCGCGCGCGATGCAGCACGCGCGCTGTTCGGCGGCGTCCGCACCCCTGGAAGGGGCTTCGAGGGGCCGCCGAGGCACGTCAGGTCTCGAGTTTGCTCAGTGTGGAATTCGGGGTTGACGTGTTTCCATATCGTCAACGTTGGGGAGGGGGCCATGTCGTTGGGTAGCCGTGTGCCGCCTATGCCAAGCCGCACGGCTGCCTGACAAAAATTTCCGATTGCCCCCCCTCCAGACTGTCCGCCCGCCACCCCCGTGTGGCCGATGACGTGCTCTCCTTGGTTCCAGGCCAACTGCGTGCACTCACTTCTTCTTTGGCTTGCCCGCTGGTCACCGACCTGTGCGCATCGGCCTCGAGTCCTCGAGTCATCCTCCTCGTCCTCCTCCTCCTCGTCCACCTCCTCCTCTTCCTCCTCCTCGTCCTCCTCCTCCTTGTCCTCCTCCTCCCCCTCCTCCTCGTCCTTTTCCTCCTCGTCCTCATCCTCATCCTCCTTCTTCTCCGCTTCCTCCTCCTCGTCCTCCTCCTGTTCGTCCTCCTCTCCCCCCCCCCCGTCCGCAATTGCTGAATCATGCAAGCGCCTGGCTTCAGTACGCGCAGGTCGTGCCCCGTGTAAGCCTCGCGCCCTCTCGTCGTACGCTACCAGGAAGGCCCGCCTCGCCGCCGCTGGCCACTCTTGTGTGAAGCGTTCGACGGACTTGAAGTGCCAGATTTGTGAACGTAAGTTTTCTTTGAAGGGCCTTCTAAGACGTTTCCTCCCTGGTCGTTGCTCGGGGGCCCGCGCCTTGGCCCTGGATGATCCCTCCTGCCATCCCTTGTATATGCAGGCTGCTAGCTCGCACACCCTTGATATGATTCGAGGTGTGCTCTATTGTGTTGTGTGCGGGAGTTTCGGCAAGGTGAACACTCGGGGGCTTTGTAAAGCCTGTCCCCCGTCCCGCCGCCCCACCAAATCGGGAGCGGAGGTGCTGAGCCGCCTCTCGCGAGGATTCACGCCCAAGAGCGGAGTCCCCTGGCATACTCCCTGAGATTGGATTGCGCCCAGGCTTGACCTGGTCTCCGCCTGAGTCCAATCCAATCCAATCCCAATCGCCGCGGCCGTCCGCAAGGACGACTGGCGACCGTCCGCAAGGACGAGGGTGATCAACCGCCTCTTCGAAAACCCCTTCCCTCAACTACTCCCTAATTGCCCCGTCCCCCCTCCGCAATCCTCCCCCCGCGGCCGCGGGTGATCAAGCGAGCGAAGGAGGACGAATAGAAAATCAGTTCCCCCAAAAGGGCAAAAGCAAACGCCGGGGGGCGGACGATAAAAAAACAGTTTCCGGCGGCTGAATTCTACTAGTCAGCCCCACTCAATCATTTTGGGGGCTCCAGGGGGGGGGGCGATTTGTTTAATCGTTTCCCCCCATTACTTCGGGGTCGACTGCGCGGACAGTCGCACATGAATTCCCGGCGGAAGGCATCGCGTGCGCGTCTGGCGGCCAGCGTAAGTTCACGCGCGTGAGGTCGCTGAGACATCGTGCGTGAAAGACCGTTTGCATTCGTCGCTCATGTGGGGTTTGCCGATGTGTGTAGTATAACCGGCGACCGGGTCCCCAGGCTCGGTCGGGTGTTGCTAGAAGTGTCCCTGGCCCAAGGTGTCCCCAGCTTGTCGCGCCATCTTGTAGCTCCTGGGGCCCGCTGGGCCTCGTGAGGGGTGCCCTGGAGGGCGTCTGGGCCACCCCGAGAATCCTGGGGGTACCTTGGGCCAGGGGTACTTCTAGCAACACCCGACCTGGGATGACGATCGAACAACACGCACCCATACCCATAGGGGGGACGGAGGAGGCTATGGGTGCGTGTTGTCGGATGGGGGTCCCCGCTCGAACGGGAGCTTCCCCCAGGGTCCGACAACTCGCACCCATACCCATAGCCAGTTCCCCTCCTTTCGACCCTCCTATGGGTATGGGTGTGAGTTGTTCGCTCGTCATGGGAGGGGGGGTGGGGGGGGGGGGCACTTTTTCAAAATTCCCCCCCCCTCCCCCAAACCCGGGGGCGGCAGGCCCCATCCGGCGTTCCGAGCGTCTCTCCAGGCCCCCGGGGGGCGTCCAGGACGGCCGCCGGCCCCAGAGGACACCGAAAGGCCGCCAACACGGACTCACGTGGCCAAATTGAAGTCGGGCCTGTCACTCCACAGGAGGAATATTCCAAAATAGTCAGAAAGTAGTCTGGGGGCAATGTTTTGGGTGTTTTGGGGGGGGGGGGGGGGGTGGGGGGGGGGGGGGGGGGGGGGGGTGGCCTTTCTGGAAGTAATTTCATTTACAATTTTGCTTTTTTGCTCAAAATCTGCCTGTAGGGAGACACGCCCGACCTAAGGCCAAATAGGTCACTGGATGGCCACAAGGCGGCCAGAAGAGACCCTGAGAATTGCGCGAAGGGGTCCAACAGGGCCCGCGAGAGGGCCTCGGAAGGCAAACTCTGTGGATGGGACGCCCAGGCTGCTGGCCCCACCAGGTCCCAGTCCACTGGCATCTTCCGTATATCAGAGACCCTGAGAATTGCGCGAACGGTCCCAACAGGGCCCGCGACAGGGCCTTGGAAGGCAAACTTTGTGGATGGGACGCCCAGGCTGCCGGCCCCACCAGATCCCAGTCCATTGGTACATTCCGTATATCTGCCGGTCCCAGCTTTCGTTCAGCCGCGCGCAGAGGTGGTGGGGGAGGCGGGGAGGGCTTCAAGGCTTCTTAAGAACACCCTGCTTCTTAAGAAGGCGTAAGGCCCGCCATCTAAGAAACAGCCCTCCTTCTAAGAAGCCCTCCCCCCTCTCGCCAACCCCTTATTGCCGCGCCGCCAATGAAAAAAACTGCCATATAGGAGGAGGAGGAGGGAAGAGGAGAGGAGGGAGAAGAGGATGAGGAGGAGGAGGAGGAGAGGAGAAAGAGGAGGAGGAGGATGAGGAGGGGGGGAGAAGGAGGAGTAGGAGGAGTAGTATGAGGAGATGAGGGGGAGGTAGGAGGAGGAGGAGAGGAGGCGGAGGAGGGAGGAGGAGGTGGGAGTAGGAGGGGGGGGAGTAGGGAGGTGTAGGGAGGAGTGAGGAGGAGGGAGGCGACGGGTGTAAAGGAGAGAGATATGGGGGTTTAGGGGTGGTGAGTGAGAGAGTAGGGCTTCTTACCTTGATTTCTCGCCGGTCTTCCCTTGATGAACTTGTAGGGAGGTGAGTCGTCGATCTGCGTGAGGCAATGGTACCTTCATTGAGTATCTGCTGATCTTATTCTTGCCACCCCATCATGCTTTTCCCTGAGGAGATACGCATCCACATCACTAGCCCCACCGTCTCACACCACGGTTGTGGGATACTTTCCCTCGAGATATCCCGAGATAAGAGAAGCCCATGATCCCCATCCATGGGGTGTTGGGGTGGTCAAACTCGTCCATGCGGGGCCAGCCACGACAAGCGCGTGTGGATGATGGGGGCAAAAAAAATCGGTCAAACGATGCTCATGAGTTGGGGCAAAACGGCGATTACTTTCTCCCATCCGACTCCAACCTCCACGTTACGCGTCGTGTTACTTTTCGCAACGCATTATTGTACCCCCCGAATTCTGTGCCACCTTCAATAAAAACAAACCAAACAAAAATAATTCATCACAAACGTCACAAACAAACCGGGACTGGATTTGCATCCCGAGTAGTTTCTTCTAAATGGTCCCGGGGCCCAGTGGGGACAACAATTGCCAGAAAATTATTACATCGAGAGGAGATGGGGGTCCTGTTCTTCCGTTGTGGAAACCATCGTAATCATGTTTAATTCTGGTTGATCCCGCCTAATCTGGCTTTGTCGGGTTCAATTAGGCTTTTGGGGCAGGTACTCCAGCTCAATGGGACCTCAATCGGGCCTAATCGCCCTTTACAGTTCTCACGATGACTTCCGAGGAGTTGTCTTCTAAGGTTCTCCTCCCCCTCCTCTTCCTCCTCTTGTCAGACCTTGTCACTACTCGATCCTCCCTCCTCCCTCCTCCCTCCCCCCTCCTCGCTCCTCCCTCCTCCCTCCTCCCCCTCCTCCGTCCTCGCTCCTCCCTCCTCACTCCTCGATCCTTCCTCCTCCCTCCCCCCTCCGCCCCCCTCCCTCCTCCCTCCTCCCTCTCCTCCCTCCCCCCTCCTCCGCCTTCCCCACGACCACCCGACGCCCAGGAGCTGGGGGACATTCACAGGACGTTCGGCGCGGCGGGCGGCGCGGAGACGCCCCCGCCGCTGTGGAGCCACGCCCGCACCCTGCCGGAGGAGCCAGCGGGCCCATTTCGTCGTCGGCGCCAGGGGGGGCAAGAGGACCACCAGCGGAGCAAGGTGGTCCGAGCTGGAGGATGAGGAGGAGGAGGAGGAGGAGGAGGAGGAGGAGGATCGAGCTTGATTGGAGAGGACACGCGAGAGGACACAAGACCCTTCCGAGAGCCACAGTGCCACAGGGATGCAGACGGCATGGGGCGTGACATACAGGGCACGAGGGCACCCGTGACTCGGAAGGATCGGTTCTCTACGTCAGCAAATTCGATTGTAGGTTCCCAGGTCTCCGACGATGTGATGTTTTTTTCTTCAGGAGGGAACACAGACACAATAAATCGTCGACTCCCAGGAAATATAGGAAAATATGGGAAGTGGGGGGGAAGACAAAAACCCAGAAAATATTGGAAAATATGGAGAATCCTTTTATTTGTGTGCATTTATTTGTGTGTCCTGGGGCCCCTTCAGTTTCAGAGCCAGGCGTGTTCCCTCTATTTCGACCTCGGGGCCCCCCGTCATCGGGCCCTGGGACCATCAGAGAGGAATGTGGAGCAAAACATGCCCCTGGGTAAGGGGTCGGGACCTCTGGGGCTGCGGATTGACAAGAACAGATCGGCGGTGGTGGGGGACGCCCACCTTCCAGGCCTCCCAGATGGGGTCCGATCTGAGGGCGTCGGAGGATCGCGCCGCATCGCCGATTCTTCGGCGATGCGGCTAGATGTGGAGCCCGATTTTCTCCGCGCCGACTTCGCCGATGCATCGCCGACGTCGCCGATGCATCGACGATGCGGCGCGATCCTCCGATCCGGTCTACTCTGACCCCATCTTGGAGGCCTCTGGGTTTGAGTCGGGCATGTCCTTCTGCAGGGGGGATATCTAGAAATAGCCAAAAATAGTCGGAGGACTTTTTTAATGATTTCGAATCATTGTTTGATATTTCTTTTTGCAATTGTTTCATTGTTCACCCAAAATCCGCCTGCAGGGGGACGATGTTTCTAATCATCTTTGTTTTTTTGGGGGGGCAATTCAAAATGTTTCCTCCAAAATCTGCCTGTAGAGGGGACATGCCCGACCTAACTCTAGGTGGGGAGGAGCGAGAACGGGGGAGGATCGCCGCGAAGCAAACGGTTCCTGGAGGAGACGGGCCTTGAGGTGTGTCTCAGTCTGGGGGCTTCGGGGGCCCTCCACAAGCCCCGGGACCGTCCGAAAATCAGGGTCAACGATAGGGGGGGACTAGGCATCGAGAACAAGCGAGAACACAGGCATCACCCTCCTCCAGGGCCCGAGCTAAGCTAAACGGTATGTTGGCGATCCCGTGGACCGTTCTCGTGTTGATGTCGTGCTATGCAGCAGGGGCGGAACGACGACGGAGCGAGGGATCACGAAGACGGAACGAAGACGAACAAGACCGCGTAGCTCGAGCCTGGCCCTCCTCCACCCCTCTCCCACTCCTCCTCGGGGGCACCGGGGATAGGCATAGGGAGGACGCGTCGACCCCCAGTCGCCCACTGATCGCCGACAGGGGCCCGAAGGCCCCAACCTGCCCAGGAAGGTGCGGATTCACTATCGGAGGCCTGTCGCCGATCTATCGGCGGCGTATCGCCGATTCCAGGTCAGAATCTGGCAAGGTAGAGCAGAGGAGAGGGTCACGGCACAGTGTTCATGGAAGACAGAGGTCCAACTGCGACAGTTTCGGGGACAAGACACACGGATCGGAGGCGAGATTCGTCCACCGTCCGAGCTCGCCGAGCGCAGACAACAAGGAAGATCGTACCTCCGGTCCACCGCCAGAATATGTACACATCCATCTCTTCGGAGTCGTGCCCTGGAAACCCGAGAAGTGCTGGATATAGATACAGAATCGGGGGTGGACAGAAACCCCACCCTGACACGTCGATTAGTGAATTGGCCGTTTTCGGTTCTCGAGAGGGCGCCGCGGCCGTCATTTTCCAGGTTTGAGCCCGCCAGGTTTGGGCCCGAGGTCGTTTTCACTAAACCCCGTTTTACGAAAGGCGGTTCTGTCCATCCCCGATAACATGTATGCCCGCCCGCATGGGCGGGCAGATATCCTCATCTGCCGCTCCGCGAGTCCCCGGGACGCGACTTCGCGGCAGAGGAGATGCACATGTTTTGGCGGCGCACCCCAGGCCAGCCCCATGGGCGCGAAGATATCCGCGAATCGCGCGTCGCCGCCTGGGCTAAAGCAGTTGCCCTTCCCAAATGAGTGCAGCGGGATTGCGCGGAGAGAACCGCTCGTCACGCACCGCGGAGCGCGATTGCGCGAAGTCGGATGGCTCAGTACACCTTGGGAGTAATCACGCCGCTCTTGCCTGCTTGCCTCCAGCCTCAGAGCTGCTCCAGCCGCCGCTGCAGGACCTCCCCGACAGGGCCAGCTCACCAGAGCCGGCCGTGCATCGTCAGAGCTCGGCGAGCGTGGAGGAAATGGCAGGCCGTATTACGGTAGGTTCGTGTCGTGTCGACGCGGTAGCGACCTCACCGCGGGCGTTCAAGGTTGAACGTTGCCAGTTGCCCAGAATCCGTCAATATGTACGGATCTGGCGATAGAAAAACCGCCGATCGTTCAAGGTTGAGCGATCCACGCAGTGTCCGAAGCCAGTGCCGTGGCCGTCACGGCACGAGCTTGGCGTACCCTGCTCGGCATCGCCTGGACGCGCGCACTGGTTTCGGCGAGGCCATCGCCAGAACTCCAGGATTAAGTCGGGCGTGTCCCTCTACGGTGCTCGGACAAGAAGTGTCCACGCCGACGGCGCGAAGACAATTAGGCATGATGGCAGCGACAATTGCAAAAGACATGTGGCTCGCCCCCCCTCACCCCCAAACCCAAAGTTGAAGTGTCCATCTGTTGTCCCCCGCGCGTTGCCTCACATCCAACCCGGTCAACTTTGGGTTGGGGGGGACGGGGTCTATGGATATTTGTTCGACGCAGTTCGATGTATCTTCTTGGCGCGATGGGTGTGGATACTTGCTGTCCACCCACCGCACAGGAGGAATATTCCAAAATAGTCGAAATTAGTCTGGGGACAATGTTTCTTCTATTTCTGACAATTGTTGAATGTTTTTCCTATGTTTTACTTTTCGTCCAAAATCCGCCTGGAGGGGGACATGCCCGACCTAAATCCTGGACCATCTGGAGACAAGAGCACGCACGAGGCCGCACAATGCACGGGGAATGCACGTCTGCCCCCGCAGCTTCCCCTGCCGCCGCTGCAGGACCTCCCCGACCTGGCCGACCTGGCCTGCTCGCCGGAGCCCGCCGGCGACGGTGGCGCAGCTGCCACCGCAGATGCACGGGCAGCCTCCGCGCAGACATCGCAGGCCTCGGGCAGTGACAGAACACCCACCCAGACAAGTCGATTGGGGAAATCTGCACGGGTTCACTCGACATTGGCATTCGAGTGCACTGGTGCAGTCCCCAGTGGGTTTCGCGAGTCGACGTGCGTCTCGCCGTGTGCATTCGGCTGGTTTTGTTTCGGGCGTCGATGAGCTACCCTGCTGGGGTGCACTCGGAATGCGCCCCTGGCAGCTTTCGCTAAGGGCGTGTTGCGAAAGAGGCATCTGTCCACCCCCGAAGGTCGCGCCGCTGAGAGGAGGGGCGGGGCACGCCCATCTCGTCTGCCGACGCCCAGGAACTATCAATCGCCGCGAAGCAGACGGGCGTCGAGGTTGGCTACACGTGAAAGTGGCCCTTTGCACCGAGCGACCTTCGGTATGAGGCTCTCGCGGGGGCACCCCGCACCGCATGCAACGATTGGCAAGCCGCGCCGCAAAGGTCACTCTTGCCAACGGTCACTCTTGCGTGTAGCCGAGGAGGTAAACGTTGCGGGGGCCCTCCCCAGGTCCCAGGACCGTCGGACAAATATTCAGAATGAAGAGTTTCTCTTGGGGAAGAGCCCCTGGATCCAGGACGCGTTCCCTTCGGGATCTTTTGTTCTTTGGTGCCAACTTTGGTGGGCCTCTTGACCACACAAAGAAGTGATGCCCGAGCATCCCTGCCCCCCCCACCACAAGATCGCTCCAGAGCAGCGGCCACCACCAGCGTTCTGCTGATGGCGTTTTGCACTTGGCCCGAGGGCCCAGCGCCGTTCCAAGAGGTCCGCGCGGACCTCCGAAAGTTTATGCTGATGGAGTCGTTTTTCCTTTCGCCCTCCAGAAACGGAGGATGACCGGGGCGGCGAAGAGAGGGGTGATGACTAGGGGGGGGATATCATGGCTGGGGCCATGATATCTCCCCAGATTTCCTGGCGCCTCCTCTTGTTTCAGTACGTCCCCAGCCGCGTATATGCCCCTGGCCATGCTTTGCGCCTCCCCCTCGTGGACGCCCCCGAGAGGAGGGGGAACCCAGACGCCGGACGATGTGCTTGCTTCAGCGCGCGGCGCCAGAAGTCTGGACCCCCTTTCCCCAGGGAGCAGCTGCGCGTCCCAGGCCTACGGTAGATTCGTGCGGCGATGGCGCGCCGGCGACGCCGGCGAAGGCGTTCAAGGTTGAATTCTGCGACGCAGAAGCACCGAGAGACGCGGTAACGCCATTGGACCCGATTGAATTCAACCTTGAACGGTCGGGGCCGCGATCGATTCAAGGTTGAACGATCGACGCGGTGTCAAAAGCCTTGTTTCTGTCCGGCGATCGTAAACATGGATCAAGGGTGTGTGGATTGGCGATGGATCCCGTTTCCATGGGAAATCGCAGATTTCCGCCGACGAGCGAGGCGGCGGCGGCCGCATTTTAGGGAGGGCACCTCCTCCGATCCATGGATTTTCACCGACCGCGTTTCAATACTCGCAAAGTGCCTACTCGCAAACGGCCGAAAAACAGATGTCTGCTTCGATGCAATCTATCGTAGATCACCCGCGGCGGATCCAGGCCATTTGCGAGTAGCTACTTTGCGAGTAGTGGAACGCGCTCGTCGCCTCCGATCCATGGATCGCTAATCCATGTTTGCGCGCCCCCGATGTTCGTGTCCGCGGGGAGGGCACGCGACGCGCCGACCCCACTTGGCCCAACAGCGAGCAGTCCAGGCAGCGCCTTCCCCAGCCGCCGCGCCCACTGCCCTCAGCTCGGTCCTTGCTTTAAGTCGGGCCTGTCCCTCTACAGGGGGACAATTCCAAAATAGTCACAACATGGTCAGGGGACGATCTGTTGATTATTTCTCATTACTTTTGAATATGTTTGGGGGTATTTTTTTATTGTTCGTATAGAATCCGCCTATAGGGGGACAGGCCCGACCTAACCTCAGCCGCCGCGCCCACCGCCCGTAGCTCGGCCCTTGTTCCCGGGCGCAGGCCTCAGCAGGCTCCACGCGCGGAATAGCACACGAGGGAGCGAGCGCCTTCCCCGGCCCCCGCAGACGCGCCGCCCCTCTTGCCCGCCACGACCTCCACGGCCACACCTCCACGCCTGCATCCATCAGGCGCTCGGAGGCCCCCAGGGCTCAGTATCGTTCAACCGACCCCCATCCCCATGCCCATCCCCTTCGAGACCCCCACCAAATTACCCCCCCCCTTAGGGATACACCCCTCGAAACCCTAAGGGAACGGCCTATATCCCCATCTAGGGGAACAAATCGGCCAGTGGGGCCCAGGCCACGCCGCTGGGGATAGGGATCGGATAAACGATGCTCAAGGGCACCGTGCCAAGCCGCCCAAGACCACGCGCCGCCCGACACGCGCCCCGACGACCCGCGGGGCGTGTTGCCCAGCACGCCCGTCCACTTGCACTGGGTCCTCCTCTGAGCTACCTCATCATCCCTCCCATGGCCTCGCCTTGCCCGCCGCTCGCCTACGATTGCCAACGAGGCGGGCTGGGCGCCTCGGGTTATGATGTTTCAACCTGCTTTGGCCTTGACCACCAGAAAGAATGTCGAGCACCAAGAAATATCGAAGCTTGAGGGTTTTCACGTGTGGGGGGGCCTGGGAGGCGACTCTCGTTCGACACAGTTTCGACCCTTTTCTGGGTGCTCGAATGTATTTCTGGGATGTGGTCCTTAAGCACGATAGGGAGCAACATACGCCTCGGGCCCTGCCCAAGTTTTGCCCCTGCGCGCCCGCCGCGGTCACTCGGACTGCGATGGGCCTGCGCTCCCCCGAGTGTGCCCCCTCCAGCACTTCTGGGCGAGGGACAGCCGCTGCTGCCCTCGGTCGAGCTGCCCTGCGCCGGTTCGGTGCCACTGCCACTGCGGAGGCCCCTGCCGCTTCCCCCGCGGTGGCCGCCCTCCCTTCTCTGCGGGCCTTCCCCCCGCTGGGAGGCCCCCGCTCTCATGTTTGATTGCACCTGTTCGGTGCCGCGCTATCGCTTCCTGCGGTGGCCACCCTCCCGGGGCGGCGCGAGGGCGCGGAGTTATGCGCGTTTCGCGCAGCGCGAACGCGAAGCTGGGTGCCCTTTCTGGGGCACTGGCGGAGATCTGGGACGCGATTTCGTGTGCCGCTCTTGGGTCGATGTCGTTTTGCAGCAAGGGTGGAGTGAAGACAAAACGAGGGAGAACGAAAACAAGACGAAAACGAAAAAAACTGTTTTGGGCGACCCCTGGGCGGTGACCCCCCTTGGGCAGTGGCGGAGACCTGGGACGCGGGCGCTGCTGGCCGCCAGGTCGGCTCCTGGGTCCCCCTGGAAACCGAGAAGGTCAAGGACGAGGGAGGATCGAGAGTCGAGGAGGTCCTGGACGTCTGCGGGCGCCTTTGAGACTCGGGGGGAGGGGGTCCGGGGAGGCCTGTGATCCTGGAGCAGGCGGTGGCCCCCTTCGCGGTGACCACCTTTGGGCACCGGGGGAGACTTGGGACGCGGTGACGACGACGACGACGACGACGACGACGACGACGACGATGACGACGACGACGACGACGACGACGACGGCGACGGCGACGGCGACGGCGACGGCGACGGCGACGGCGACGGCGACGGCGACGGCGACGGCGACGGCGCCGCCAGGTCGGCTCCTGGGTCCTCCACGCCCTGGCGCGCGGTGACCGGCCCGAGGTGGTGGCCAGCTTCCTGGCGCACGCTGCGGACGCCGGGGCTCCAAGTTTCGCCGCCTGATCCAGACGTCCCGTCTCTCTGGGCCTCCTAGGTATAGATGGGTTCTGAGTAGATGGGGTCGAGGGATCGCGCTACATCGCCGATGCATCGCCGATGCGGCTCGATGTGCAGCCCGATGTGCTTCACGTCGACGTCGCTGATGCATCGTCGTCGACGATGCATCGCCGTTGCATCACCGATGCATGGCCGATGCATCGACGATGCATCGCCGATGTATCGGCGATGCGGCGCGATCCTCCGACCTCATCTACACCGACCCCATCTAGGAGGCCTCTAGTCTCTGGGCCTCCCAGATCGACTGGAGGCACAGGTCGTACGTTCCCCCAGACTATACAACAGGTGTGGCTACGCCAGGGTGTGGTTTGCGATCGGCGCTGTCGGGGCGTTGGTCGGAGAAGAGAAAAAACACCATAAGCATCAACGATCCGCGCGGAGCACCAAAAGTTGAGGGCCCTGGCCGGGCCATGTGACCGTCAAACAGCAGTTCGGGATGAAAAGCTGGCCCTGGGGAAAGGGTCGTCGGACGGGGCTAGGACGAGGATAAATCCGTTCCAGAGCGTTCCGGAACGCTTCCTGAGCGTTCCAGAACGTTTTGAGAAGGCTGCGGCGCCCGAGGCATCCTTCAGAACCGTTGGATCTCAGAGATTCTCGATTTGCCCTTACGCGATTTTCTCGTCGTCCTGGCTTCGTCGTAGGCTGGGACTTCGGGGGATGCCGCCTTCAGAAATCAAGAGCTATGATGTCTGGGGTTGGGGGGGGGATTACATAGCTCGGGTGTTGCCACCAGAGGTGGCCCTGGTCCAAGGTGGCCCCAGCGTTCCCAGGGAGGCTCAGCCCGCTGCGGCTGGGGACTGCTGCTCAGCGTGTGCCTACTCCGTCGGTTCGGACAGCGATAGCACGTGACACGGGTCCACTTTGTGCTCTCGGGCTATGGGATCTCGTGTTCTGCGTGTTCTTGGCTGCTAGACTGCAGCGTGGATGCTTCGCCCTGGCGCCTGCGCTCGGGTACGCTCGTGTTCAAAGTTTGAGGCATACCACTCTGCGATTGCCGTGGACTGCGTGGGGCAGTGGCGGCGAATCGTAGCTGGTCATGGGCTCGATGTGCGGGGAGGCCCTGGCGCCGCTGCTCTACAGTCGGCCTCATCTTCGTGCCCGTGGGCACGATGGTCTGCATGACTGTGACGTTGCGAGCCTCGTCGTGAATCATCCTCTCCCTCTTCCTTTTTTTCCTGGAAACTACTTACCATCGTTAGAGTAATCCTGACCCCGCAGGCGTTTCGTCTGTAGCTATCTCTTTGGCTCCCCGGTCCCTCCCACCCTGATGTACGCCAGGGGGGCGAGGCAGTAATTCACGCACCCTGTGAGGACAGAGGGCGAGGCATCGAGGCGCCTGCGCACATGTCCGTTGCGTGCGCCACCGCTGAGAAAAGTGGGGCGGGTTGGGCGGGGGAGCGAGAGATGAGGAGTCAGAGGATTACTCGCCCTCATCAGATCCCTCACCCCTCACACCTCCTCGTCCTCCTCCTTGGCTTGTTCGATGTTCGCCTCTGGCCCAAACAGTGGTGGAGTGCCAAGGCGAGCCCTCGCGGTGTCATTCAAGAGGGTCTCGCCTGAGGCCTGAGGTATCCGTGATTGTACACGACGTGATCTTCTACACCAAACGCATCGCATCGCGTGGTCAGCAGTGGCATCGCCAGGACAGCAGCAGCATCGCGTGGACAGCAGCAGCATCGCGTGGACACCAGAAGCATGCAGAGAGAACGCCGCGGCAACTCATCCGAACACTCAAAGCGGGCACACACGGAGACTGGCATGTCCCTGCAGGGTCTCATGGACTCGTGCCCCTGGCGTGGTTCACGAACGTCTGGCCCACAGCCTTCCAGTTGTGGTGCCTGCAGCCGTCGTCATCTTAGCTGCCCCGATATGCAACACGCAACACGTATCGTATTGATACGGAGCTCAACACTTAGGCTGAAAGCATAGGTATGACGCGATACATTCGCCCAAAACGTGGTCCAATACGTGGAGCCAACACGCAACGCATTGACATGGACGTCATGAACACGGGACGCGTTACGTTTCAAAACGCGCGTATCGAGGCAACTAAGGTCATCAAATCAATCTGAGGCGCTCGATCGGACCGTGGGTGTTGCTCTGCTCTGCTCCTCTTTGTTCCCGTCTCCGGATCCTCCGCCTAGATCTCCGCCCTTCCGGCGTTATCGGGGGTTGTTGAGGGTGCCTTTGGCCCAAGGTTTATGATGTTCCTGCCGACTTTAGCCTTGTCAGCCAGGAAGAGTTTCGAGCACCAGGAAAATAACGAAATTGCAGGGATTTCACGTGTCGGGCCCTGGGAGGCGATACGCGTTCGACATTGTCCCGATACGTTCCCGGGTGCTCGAAATGATGTTTGGGATGTGGTCTTTGTGCACAGTGGGAGCAGCATAGCCCAGGGTGCCCCCATTTGGTCGCTCCATGTTGGCGAGCCCATGGAGCTCTCTGGTCCTCGTGAAGGGGTGCACCTGGAGGCCGCGTTGGGGCCTCCTTGGATCTCCTGGGGGCACCTTGGGTCAGGGTTAAGTCGGGCATGTCCCTCTACAGGAGGACTACCCAAAAATAGTCGGGGAACAAACTGTTGACTACGTTTCGCCATTCTCGAATGTGTCTGAACTATTTTCAATGTTTTACTTTTCGTCCAAAATCAGCATGTAGAAGGGCATGCCCGACCTGAGGCCAGGGGCACTTCTCGGACGTACGCCCCCTAAGATCCTGGAGCTCAGCGATCTGGCCCCCGAGCGTCTCCCTGGCGACGGGGGAGGCGATGGTTACTGAACGGATGGATGTCGGTGTGCCAGCTGAGCGTCTCCATGGCGACTGGAGAGGCGAGGGTTACTGAACGGATGGATTTCAATGTGCCAGCTGAGCGTCTCCATGGCGATTGGGGAGGCGAGGATTACTGAACGAATGGATTTCGGTATGCCAGGACACCGAAATCCATCAGTTCTGTAACCCTCGCCTCCCCAGTCGCCATGGGGACGCTCAGGGGCCAGATCGCTGAACTGAAGGATCTCAGGGGGCGTAGGACGGGGCTAGGACGAGGATAAATCCGACGCTCTCGGAGCGTTCCAGGACGCTCTGAGAAGGCTGCGGCGACCGAGACATCCTCCAGGGCCGCCAGATCTCAGAGATTCACGATATATCCTCACCCGATGTTGTCCTCGTCATATAATGTTCCAACCTACCTGATCACCAGAAAGAATTTCGAGCACCAAGAAATGATCGAAACTGGAGGGTTTTCACGTGTCGGGCCCTGGGAGGCGATATTTTGTTCGACACTGTTTCGATACTCTTTCTGGGTGCTCGATATTTTTCTGGGATGTGGTCATGAAGTACGAGGTGAAGAACATAATCCTCGTCCTGGCTTCGTCGCAACTTCCGGCAGCACCCGAGCCGTACCTCCCCGTCCCTCGCAGCGGCGGCCGAGGTCGAGCCCGAGGGCTTGCTGGCGGAGCTGCTGCGGCAGGCCGGGACCGCCTCCCTCCGGCTGCGGCCTCCTCTCGAGGTGTGTGTGTGTGTGTGTTGGGGTTCCTTAGGCCTCCGAGTACGGTTAAGTGTGGCGTGTCCCTCTACAGGAGGAATATTCAAAAATAGTACAGAAAAATAGTCTGGGGGGGATGTTTTTTTAATTATGCTTGGACATATGTTGGTGGCATTTCGAGAATATGCTTGATTTTTCCTCCAAAATCTGCCTGTAGGGGGACAGGCCCGACCTAACCTTGGGCCTCAGTACGGTCGAACCGAGGTGTGCACGCCGGTCGGGGAAAGTAGGCATTTCTGGATTCCCAGGTCCCCAGTCCTGTTTGAGCGCCGTCCTGCTTCGATGGTCGTCAGGAGGGGGAAAAACACACAGACACAATTAATCGTCGACTCCCAGGAAAATATCGGAAAATATAGGAAGTGGGGGGGAGACAAAAACCAACAAAATATGGAAAGATATTGGGGATCTTGTTATGTGTGTGTATTTATTCGTGTGTCCCATGGCCCCTTCAGAGTGGTATCCCCTCTTCAGGCCGACATTGTACGACAAACTTGCAGGCTGGTCGTTGAATGTGGGTGCCAATGTGTTGCAGCAGCCTTCCCACTTCAAGGGTCGAGTGGTTTTCCCTCGTCCCTCCTCTTCAGGGGGCGGGCGGAAGCCAAATCTACTTCAGACGCCTTCCTGCTTCATGTTCCGAACCTCTTCTTCCGACCGACGGGTGCGATCGAGGTTGGTACGGGGAGGGTACCCTAAGCGGGCTCATTTCGAGTCCTTCGATTCGATTCGATTCGATGTCAACGCCTTCCGATTCCGATTCGGCTCGACTCCGGGTCCCGATGTGGATTCCGATTTCTCGTTGGAGGTTTACTGGCCTGCCGATTTCCGCCGATTAGACTTCTCCCGACTCGGCTACCGATTTCCAGCGATTCGATTCTGGGCTCTGCTGCCCTAAGGTTATCGGTGTCTGTTGGATGTTCTTGTGCATCCTGGGGGAGGGCGCCCTTGGGTGCTCTGTGGGTTTTGGCCAGTGTATGGTCTCATGTTCTGGGAGGGTGTTCTTCCGTCCTTGTCCTTGTCCTTGGTCCGGCCGTAGGTCGGAGGATCGCATCGCATCGCCGATGCATCGGCGAAGCGGCTCGATGTGGAGCCCGAGTTTCTCCACGCCGACGTCGCCGATGCATCGGCGACGCGACGCGCTCCTCAGACCCCATGATTCAATGATGCCAGCGGCAGCTGCTGTTCATGTGTAGAGTCATGTTGGTCGTATGCTTCGTGGCGTGTCGGGTGCGTGCCGATCCCAGGTTCCTCGGGCCCTGCTGCAGGTGCGGGCCGATGCTGGCGGGCCCCAGGTCTTGAAGGTGGACGGATCTGTTGCGCCGCAGCCCCGCGCCACGAGGAGAAGGAGGGGAAGAAGAAGACAAAGGACCAGGACGAGGGCGAGGAGGAGGGGGACGAGGACGGGAAGGGGGGAAGGGGGAAGGGGGAAGGGGGAAGGGGAAAGGGGAAAGGGGAAAGGGGGAGGGGGGAGGGGGGAGGGGGAGGGGGGGAAGGAGGGAAGCGGGAAGGGGGAAAGGGGAAGGGGGGAGGGAGAAGGAGGAATTGGGGAAGGGGGAAGGGTGATGGGGGATGGGGGTTGGGGGAACGGGGGAACGGGGGAACGGGGGGGGAAAGGGGGGGGGGGAACGGGCCAACGGGGGAACGGGGAAGGGGGAAGGGGGAAGGGGAAGAGGAGGAGGAGGAGGAGAAGGAGGAGGTGGAGGAGGAGGAGGAGGAGGAGGGTTTTTTGTCATCAACGACCTCGCCTCCAGATCCTGACAGAGCAGGACAGGCAACCTGCAGCGGAAGGAGATGCAGGCTGCGCCGAGTGGCAAAACCAGACAGCGAGCACTGCCTCTGCACGCTCCTGCGAGGCACGGCCAACAGAAAACGCACAGAAGACAGAGCAGCGCCAACGGTCAAGGGCCATGCCGCCGTGGCGCGCTAAGTGCGCGAAACAGGGCACGCAAGGAGACCTGTCCGGGGTAGGGGGTGCCGGAGGCCGTGCTCCGACGCCCAACCTAACCACCCAATCCATGGGCGGCCGCTGGCGACGAGAGCCATTTTCTTCCCCCTTGGCCCCCAGCGGGCAAACAAGGGTGACGATCAGGCTGCTACCCGCTTACTTTCCTGGGAAGGGGTCCCAGTGGCACAGGTGCCGAGGAGGAGGAGGAGGAGGAGGAGGAGGAGGAGGAGGACGAGGAGGGAGAAGGAGGAGGAGGAGGAGGAGAAGGAGGAGGGGAGGAAGGAGGAGGAGGAGGAGGAGGAAGGAGGAGGAGGGGGAGGAGGGGGAGGAGGAGCGACGCGAGCAGGGGGCAGGGCGGAGAGGCGCGAGGGCCCCGCCGAGTGCTGGCGGGGCCGCCGGCACCACCAGGCGCTGCCGCCCACCACGCCGCCCGCGCTGGAGCGGCGTGCCGCCGCCGAGGGCCGCCGCGGCTCCCCGGGCGACTCCATCGGGGTTGGCTGGCGCCTCGCGGGGCCGCCGCCCGCGGATCTTCGAGGCTCGGTGTTGTTGCCTCCTCCTCCGCCTCCTCCTCCCTCCTCCTCCTCCTCCTCCTCCGCCTACTCCTCCTCCTCCTCCTCCTGATTCGGTTCGTTGTTGGTTTGGTTTGCTCGGTCCGTTTTTTGGTTTGGTTGTAGGTTGTCCTCCTGATTCGGCTCGATGTTGGTCTGGTTGTCTTCGAGGCGTTGGCTTACGTTTGGTGGTTTCTGCTCGGGTTCTCGGCGGTTTCCCAGCTGCGGGGTGCTCTCCAGCACAGCAGCTGCGCCTCGTCGAAGGCTCCCCGGCGGTGCCTGCATCGCCCTAGACGGCCGCCGGCGGCCCGAGTTATGACACGAAGGCCAGGCTGGGGGGGGGGATGGCCTCGAGACGGAGGTCTTTCGTCGTCGTCTTCGGTCTCTCGGTGCCCTCGCCAAGCCCCAGGGCCGTCAAAAAAACACCCGGGATGGAAAACCGTTCCAGGAGAATTGGTCGAAATCGAAAAGAAGCAGGAAACAAATGTTGCCGGAGAAAAACCCAATCATAATATGTTTAGGGCTATGGGGCATTAGGGCTATGGGGCTATAGGACTATGGAGCTATAGGGCTATAATGCTATGAGGTTATAGGGCTGTAAGGCTATAAGGCTACAAGGCTATAAGGCTATAGGGCTATTGGGCTATAGGGCTACAGGGCTATCGAGGCTGCAAGGCTATAGGGCTACAGGGCGTTAGGGCTATAGGGCTCTAGGGCGATAGGGCTATAGGGCTATAAGGCCAGAAGGCTATAGGGCTATAGGGCTACCGGGCACCCGGGCATCCGGGCACCCGGGCATCCGGGCACCCGGGCACCCAGGGCACCGGGGCACCCGGGCACACGGGCACCCGGGCACCCGGGCGTGCCGCCGAAATCGGCGCCCTACCTCACCTAGCCATATGAACCCGCTAGGACCCCTACAGAGGCAAGCCCTGATTGGGGGGGAGGTGGGAACGGGAGGGAAACAACAACGAAAACAAAAACGAACAAAAAACGAGACGCTGGACGTCTGGAGTCTAAGGGGGAGAGGGGCCGTGAGATCCAGGCGTTGCGATTTCGTCACACGGGGCGCGCTCGCCCCGCTTCGGGCCCCCGGACCACCACAGATCGATCCAGCTCGGAACACGCAGCAGACAAATCGGTTTCAGCTCGCTGAGGGGCAGCGAACGCGATCTGTGTTTCTGGGGCGACGGAGGAGGAGGCAATGCTCGTAGGGTAAGAGCACACCTAAGCAGCCCAATCGTCGGTAAGAGCAAACCTAAAGGTCCGAACTTGTCGCGAATGGGTGTCGAAGGATTGTTATTGATGGATCAAGCGCGCTCGCTGAGCGTATTGGGATTTGGCCCTGGAAACAACGCTGCCCCCCAAGCGACCTCCAACAAATCGGGTCAACAGTCTAGATGTCAGTCGTTTCGGCACCGTCGGATGTTGGGGGGGGGGGCGCTGAAGGTCCGAGGTTCGATGCCCGAGGAGGGTTCGAGGCTCGAGGCGCGAGGGCGTCTTCATGCGCGCCCGGAGGCTCCAGAGCTCCGACGTCGTGAGTTGTTGTTAGCGACGTCGACACCCAGAGATCTCGATCCCTTCCCTTAGGCGGGCTGGTTTCTCATCCCGGGCTGTCTTTGCACGGTCTTGGGGCCCGACGAGGGCCCTGAGAGACCGAGAATGGCCAAAAGTTGTTAGTCGGGATGTCTCGTCCCGAATCGTGTTCGGGAGGTCGGGTGCCCAGAAGGCCGAAAATGGCAGCAGAAACAGCAACAACGACGACGACGACGACGACGACGACGACGATAACAAAAACTGTCCAGTCGAGATTTCGCTTCGCAGCGCGAGGCCGTCGAGCCTCGGGGTGCTCGCCAGCAGCCGCGCCTCGCCGCAGTGCGCTCTTGCCGGAGGGCCCTGGCCGCCCCCCTTTCGGGTGTAGCCAGGACCCCGGTTCAGGGGAGCCGGTTAGTGATTGGGCCCCGAAGCCCAAAATATGGATTGGAATCACTAAACCAGGTCTGCCGTAGTTGGTGTTTTTTCGGGTGACGGCAATTCCGGGTAGTGGAATGGGACGGGGGGGGGGCGTCCCCCGGACAGATCACTAAACCAGGTTCCACTAAACCCAGCCAACGCCCGATCCTTGGCGGCCGCCGAAAAAAGGGGCCCGAGTTTTTTGTGTGGCCCGGCCGCCCGAGAAGGGCCCCCTCCTTGTTCTGGGGCAACGACAGGTGGAGGTTTTCTCCGAAGGGCTGAGGCGACCCGTCCTCCTCCTCCTCCTCCTCCCTCCTCCTCCTCCTCCTCCTCTCCTCCTCCTCCTCCTCCTCCTCCTCCTCCATCTCCTCCTCCTCCTCCTCCTCTCCTCCTCCTCCTCCTCCTCCTCCTCCTCCTCCTCCTCCTCCTCCTCCTCCTCCTCGGGTCGCCCACGGCCCCGGGGGAAACCGTGCAACGATAGGGGGGGACGTAAGCCAGAATCAGGGGGGGAGGCGTCGACCCCCCATCGCCCACTGATCGCAGATAGGGGCCCCACAGCCCCCATCTGCCCAGCAGCGTGCGGATGCAGTCCCCCCCCCTATCGTTGCCCCGTCCACCCATGCGTTTGACGCTCCTGCCTCCCATCCCTCTCCCAAACTCAGGAGTGGAAAAAAGCACAGACACAGTTAATCGTCGATCCCATGGAAATATGAGAAAATATGAGAAGTGGGGGGGAAGACGGAAAATCCAGAAAAGATTGGACAATATAGGGAACCTTGGGATTTGTGTGTGGGTGTGTTTTTTTGTGTGTCCCAGGGCCCCTGTACAAACAGCCGACGATGAGTTGTTCGCAACCATCACGTGGTGCTGGGTCCTCCTTTTGAAGGAACAGCGCCCCGCAGTCTCCGCCCGCTACCCCCCCTCTCCTCCCATCAGTCCCTCTGCCCTCCGCACCAGGCAACAATTTCGGCACACCCCTCACACGCTTCGTGGCCCCATAGGCAGCTCCACCCAAAGCCCCAATAGCACCGTCCAGATGCGTCCGGGCCACCCATTTCGGCACACCACTCTCACGTCTCGTGGCTACATAAGGAGCTCCATCCAAAGGCCCAAGCGGCACCGTTCACACGTCGGCGCACCCCTCACACTCTTCGTGGCCCGGTCGGAATCTCTGCCCACGGCCTCACAGGCACCGTCCACACGCGTCCGCGCCACCCATGCTGGCGCGCCCGTCAAACGTTTCGTGGCCCCACAGGGAGCTCCACCGAAGGTCCCAGCGGCACCGACCACATGCGTCCGCGCCACCCATGTCGGCACACCCGTCAAACGTTTCTTGGTCCACAGGGAACTCCACCAAAGGCCCGAGCAGCACCGTCGACATGCGTCCGCGCCAGTAATTTCGTCACACCCCGCACGTTTCATGGGTCCATGGGAGCTCCACCAAGGGCCCGAGTGGCACCCTCCACATGCGACCGCGCCACGCATGTCGGCACACCCCTCACACGATTCGTGGCCCCGAAGGGAGTTCGATCCACAGGCCCCAGCGGCACCGTCCACATGCGCCCGCGCCATTCATGTCGGCGCACACCTCACACGCTTCGTGGCCCCATCGGAAGCTCCACCCACGGCCCCAGCAGCACCACATGCGCAGGCGCTACTCATTTCGGCGCACTCCTCACACGCTTCGCGGCTCCGCATGGAGTTCCACCCAAGGCCCCAGCGGCACCGTCCACATGCGTCCGCACCACAACTTTCGGCACACCCCTCACACGTTCCGTGGTCCCATTAGGGAGCTATGCGTTAGCGCCAGAATTCTGGCACACCCCTCAAACGTTTCGTGGCCCCATAAGGAGTTCAACTCAAGGCCCCAATGACACCGTCCACATGTTTCTGCCCCATTCATGTCGGCCCACCCATCACGCTTCGTGGCCCCATTGGGAGCTCCATCCAAAGCCCCAGTGGCAAAGTTCGCATGCGTCCGGTCCACACACTTCGGTACACTCCTCACGTTTTCGTGGCTCCATAAGGAGCTTCACCCAAAGCCCCAATTGCTCCGTTCGCAAGCGTCCGCGACACTCATGCCGGCACAAACTTCGCACATGTCGTGGCTCCACAGGGAGTTCCACTGAAGGTCCCGGCGGCACCGTCCACGTGCGTCCGCGCCACCCATGTCGGCACACCCCTCACACGTCTCACTGCCCCATAGGGAGCTCCACCCAAGGCCCAGATTGCACCGTCCACATGCGTCCGCGCGGCAGATTTCGGCACACCTTACACGATTCGTTGCTCCAAAATGAGCTCCAACCAAGACGGCACTTTCGGATTATTGTGAGAGATTTGACAATTCATTTTGAGAATAGGTATTATGTCCTTGTGTAGTGAATTATGAGGCGCTTACCTGTCTGAGATTCAGGTCCGTAGGTGCAGTATTAGTATCGAATCACTTGGTCCAACCGTCGTTGTGTCGATGCTTGTGACACTTGTGGTTTATTCTCAAATCTCGAGATTTATTATCCAAATAGATTTGCCCAATAGGAGTCCGAACGCAAACCCTACTAATTGGTCACTTCCCCCCCCCCTAAGTCCTACGGTTATGCTTGTGCCTACGCCCGCGCCTCCCCCCTAGCTCCTATGCCTACGCTTATGCCAATGCCTACGCACCACCTCTGAGCGCTCCTATGCCTATGCGTATGCCTATGCACCATTTCTGAGCGCTATTCCCCTTCTTTGCATCATCGCCACTCCACAGCAAAAAACGCTTGCAACAGCGGTTGCACGAAGGAGAACTACGAGTGTCAAAGCCCGAGCAGCAAAGGGAAAACACCTTCACGAAGTTGACTCGGCTCCTTGGTAACAGTAGTCGCCCCAACAGAACGCGGCGCGGAAACGCCCGCGAGGGAGGCGTGGTCGGCGCGCTGCTCCCCTGACGCAGCAGCTGGGCCGCACGGTCCAGTACGGTACAGCACAGTGGACTGGAGTGTGCGCGTGTGGAATCATCATCGTCATCATCATCATCGTCATCATCATCATCATCACCATCGCCCTCATCGTCATCATCATCGTCATCATCACCATCATCACCCACTATCTATTTGGAGTCCACGAGGGCTGATATTACAACTGCGGCGCTCGCAACTGCAAACCGCGGCCGCACACCTTCTGACCACTGACTGCTCCATGGGCAGGCGTCCGTCCCCAGATCCGCGTTTGAGGTCCACGGGGCCCCGCGGCGGGCTCTCGAGGCCGAGATCGAGGAAAAGGGCCGGAATTGAACAAGCAGACATCTACCTTCGGGAGCCTTGAGACGGGGGTCTGCCCGAGCGCCCGATGTTGCAAGATTTCGCAGGGCCAGGGTCGCATTAACCAGGGATTGGGCGCAGGATCTTGCGGGATCCTTCGCGTTGGCCTGGGCTCGGGCGCAGGATCTTGCGGGATGTTGCAAGGATTTTCTGCAAGGCCTGATTGGTCCGGGTCTGCATTGACCCGGGCCAGCAGGTCCCCGACCGAGATCGAGGAAAAGGGCCAATATTGAAAAAGCTGACATCCACATCGAATCTAGAATATGTATGTGATCTGCGCCTGCCATGTTCGAGTTTGGGGCCACACGAGAGACAGTCAAACATAGTCAACACATAGTTTTGCGACGATTGTTTGGTTCTCTGAACATTTGTCCGAATCGGCCTGCAGGGGGACATGCCCGACCTAAACATGGTTTGCGACTGTTTTTGTTCAGGGTCTCAGGGCTCGTTTCGATTCTCCCGATCCGATCCAATTCGAGACCGATGGCTTCCGATTCCGATACGATCCGACTTCCGATTCCGATGTCGGTTCCAATACTTCACTGGAGGCATATGAGCCTGCTGATTTCCGCCGATTCGATCTCTCCCGACGCGATTGCCGATTTCCGCCGACCCGATTCACTTCCATCCCCAATACGATTTCTCGATTCGATTATGGGTTCCCTTCAGGCCTGGCGAAAATGTCACGGTTATCGGGCCTGCCCCCCCCCCCCCCCTCGGCTATCCTGACCTCGTCGGTTGCGCAGGTCCGAAGGGGGTACGCAGTACTGGTGCGCGCGGGCCATACTTGGGGTTGCCTAGAGCGATAAAGTTTTACGACGAAATGCCGCCCAGACACCCCCGACCAGATAACGTGGATCATCGCCGAGCAATGAAACATGGAAAAACCGTGCCCAGGATTTCTTGATAAAGGAGGGGTCTGATTGGGGTGGGGGTCTGATTTGAGCCGTCTCGGAGAGCCCCACGGCGTCTTTGCACGGGGCGGCCCTTTCATGGCTAGTGTGAGGGGGGTCTGACATGGCTCGCCTGGGAGGGTTGTGACCCCACCCCGTTGATTACGAAACCTGGGGTATCTTTTCGTGCCCATCCTGCAGTCGTTTTAGGCTACCTCCCGGTCGTGAGGGTCGCCGCCGCGCATTGGGCACCCGCCAGCTGTGTGGCGCCGCGGACGGCCACCTCGCCGGCCGCACACCACGACGTCAGCGACCCGCTGCAGGCCCGGTCGCGCTGCGCGGGGGCGGCCTCTCCCGTGGGTGTCAAGCAGGGGCGAGGCGTCTTGGCTTGCCCACAAGCCCATCAAGAATGGTCTAAGAACCTTCTGTGGCTTGCACGAGATGTTATCAGAGCAGTGTGGGCTGAAACTGGGACGATGTAGTACGTCGGGCTTATGTTATAAGAGCATTGTTCTTGATCTAAGAACAGTTTGTGGTTCTCAGAACATGTCGCGGTAGGCCTACAGGAATGCTGGGACGGTCGGTCCCTGCGTCCGCGCCCATCGCCCCAAGACAAGGTTAAGACGAAGTGCATCCAACAAATCATTAGCCCCTTCCCCCTCCCAACCCAGAGTTGGCAGTTGTGCACGCGAGGCAACGCGGCAAGTACAAAATGTCGACACTTCAACTGTCGGCTTGGGATGGAGGGGGGCGAGACATACGACATACGTCATGCGAGATGTTATTCAACATCAGGTGATATGGTCTGCGTGCCATGGGTGTGGACATTGTTTGTCTGGCCACCGTCGTGCACTCCAGTGCGGACGGGGTGTCGGCGCTGACGGGCGTCGGCCAGCCCTCGCCAGATCCTGAGGGAAATTAGGAGGTGCAAGAGGTCATGAAAATGAGACGTCCCAAGATGTCCTCATGCTCCTCGTTTCGATTCCTCCGATTCGATTCGATTTCGATGGCCTCCGATTCCGATTCGATTCGATTTCGGATTCCGATTTGGGCTCCGATTTCTCAATGGAGGCCTACTAGCCTGCCGATGTCTGCCGACACGACTTTTCCCGACCTGGCTGCCGATTTCCGTCGATCCGATTCCTGTCGAGTGCCGATCCGACTTATCTATTCGATTCAGGGCTCCCTTGACACTCCGGACTTCCTGGAACGCACCCTGAGCCAATCGCATCATTCGGGTTTTGCTAGCAGTGCCCCTGGCCCGAGGTGCCCCCAGGAATCTCTGGGTGACCCAGACGGCCTCCAGAGCTCCCCTCGCGAGGCCCAGAGGGCCCCAGGGGCTCCCAAATGGAGCGGAATGCTAGTTTAGGGCACTTTGGGCCAGGGGGCACTTCTAGCAGCACCCGAACCATGGCACCGCTCTCGCCCCAGGAACCAGTCCGAAGTTTTTCGCCAGCTTCGGGCTCCCAGGGGGGCCCCACGCGGGCCCCTGGGCCGGCCGAAACAACTCGGGACGAACAGGTGCTTCCGGCGGGGGAGAGTCTGAAGTCGGGCACGTCCTTCTACAGGAGGAAGAGTCAAACCAAAAGTGGGGGGATTATTTTTTGAATATTATTTGCCTATTATTGAATATGTTGTGACTAAAATGTTTGCCCAAGATCCGCCTGTAGGGGGGCATGCCCGACCTCAGGAATGTCACGGGGTGGGGGACCTGTCCTCCGTCAGGACCTGGCCCTCTTTGGCTTGAGTTTGGCACCAGTTCTCGGCCTCCTGGCGGCTTCTCCTCGTCACGGCCGGATCCGCCCCGCGAAACGGATCAGGATGGGGTCTTCGGACCAATTTTGCGATGTCCTGGGCCAGGTGGGAGAGCCGACGCTGTCTCCGCTGGCCCTCCGACGGTCCTCTGTCATGCCCTGGCCGGCCTGGCTTTGGGGGCCATGTGTTAAGTTGGGCGTGTCCCTCCACAGGAGGAAGATTCCAAAGTAGGCAAAAAGTAGTACGGGGACGATCTCTTGATTGTTTTTGAGTATGTTGGGGCATGTTTCTGATATTTCTAATCTTCAGCCCTAAATCCCCCTGTATGGGGGACAGGCCCGACCTAAGGCCATGTGTTGCCGACTCATATTCCCCTCCCTCCGGCGACCCCGGTTTGGGAGCTACATTGCGCGGTCGGCCGGGGTTCGCGGCACGGCTTCGACTACCTTGGATCAGCGCGTCCCCCGCAAGGGGCTCTAACGGGCCGCCATCTTGAGGCTTCGGCACAACGTCGGAAGCGAACAGGCGGGAAGGCAACAGACACTGATTGTTGTATAGCTTTGGGGTAGACTTGGGCCTCTCGGGCCGGAGGTTGATAGACCTCCTACCCTGACACGTCGATTCGCGAGAGGGCGTCGCGGCCGTTATGTTTGCGGGTCCGGGTCCGTCGGTTTCGGTCCCAGGCCGTTTTCATTCAAGGGAGGTTCATTGAAGGGAGGTTTGTCCACCGCCGATCGGGGGCGTCATGCGGAGGCTCCGTGATCACTTGGAGCCATCTTGGGGCCTCTTGCTGGCCTCTTGTGGGGCGTCTTGGCGACCTGTCGGGGCTTCTTGAGGGATCCTCGGGCAGAGGGCAAGCGTGTCGTTTGTTCTGGCAGTCTGGCGCCTGCGGAGTCCATCTTGGGAGCCTCTCTGGACCGTCCTGGGGCCCCCTGGGGCCATGAATGGGCGTCTTGGAGGTATGTTGGGCTCTCTTGGGCCAGATTGCAGTCACCTCGAGGTTTCAAAGTCAGTCAGAAGCGAGAAGGAAACAACCATTGTTTGTCTGAGGGTGTTGGCAGAATCTTAGCCTTTCAGGGGCGTCCATGGAAGGCTCCGTGGCCACCTGTAACCTCAGAAGACCTTTAATGTTAAGGGCCCCGCCCTGAGCGTTCGGCTGGCAACTAAACTCGTCCTTCCCCTCCTCGCCTTTCCCATCATGATCATCACTATCATCATCAGCAGCAGCATCAACAACAACAGCATCAACATCAGACAGTGACTTGTCGGCATTTGTGGACTATCCGTGGCCGCAACACTTTCGCTTTAGTTCTTCAGGGTATGCATGCCCAGCTCGAACGCCTCGCCCACGACCTCAGCAGTGCTGTCACTACTGCGCGCGTGGGAGTTCGACCCCGTGCCCAAATTGCATCTGCTCGCCCGCGCTCCACCGCCCTGCCTTGGAGCGCCACTGCCCCAGCGGCGAGGGCCAGATCTCGCCCGCGTGGTGGTCGACGGAGTTCCTGGTCGTGCTGGTGCTGTTAGCCTTCTCATACGGTGTCCTCGTGGGTGGGCTCTATTTCAACCAGACGCCGATCGCAGCCACCAAGGTGCCCATGGTGCGTGGTAAGTCGAGCCCGTCCACGTCGGAGGAGCCCATCACCACCTTCGACCTTGCGTTGGCAGCCGCCGCCCAGGCGCGTAGTTTCCGCCGCTGAGAGTAATCATGGCGATTTTGTTTCCCTGGTCAGTTCCACCTTGTACGATACAACATCGGGGGCCCTGCCATTTACCACGAAGGATTGACCCTCCTGCCTGGCTACATACTGACGCCAGATGGCGACGACTACTCCCAGAGACCTCCGCTCAGTGCCCGTCCTTCAGGGTCAAGGCGACGGGCTGCCTGGAACTTCCGCGAATCACCCTCGTGCAACAGATGTTCGGGCAGCACTTCGTAAGGGGAGTCGCCCAGGGGCATGGGCCCCTTCCCGTCTCGCCCTTCAACCTGGAGCTCAGCACGACCAACGTCCTGGGCGCTGCGGCAGGGGCCCCTGCACTGCCTGACCCGCTGGCGCCAGCCCCGCCGCCTGCCGCGCTGGCCGCGCCGCCCGCCGCCGCCGTCGGCGGCGGCCTTGGCGCGCTGGCCGCCGCGCTCGGAGACGGAGTTCCTGCTCCCGCGGCGGGCGCGGCCGGCCCCGCAGGCGCAGGTGGGGCCCTAGGCCCTCCCGCGGCGGCGGCGGCGGCGGCTGGCGACCCCCGCGCGATGGCCTTTGTCCTCGACGGGTGAGGCCTGCGCGACATGAGTTTCGGCGAGGCGCTCCAGCTCCAGACCGAGACGGACCGCGCTGACTGGCCCGTGAAGGGACCCAGGCCTTTGCTCTGGGTACTCGGGCTCATGCAGCGGATGGCTGGCGGCCCCATGGCGTGGCACACCCGGCGGCTGGCGACGGTGCAGCTCGGCGAACATGACGAGAGCGTCAGGCTCCACGAGACGATGCGCCGCGCGATCGAGACCGCGTTGTGCCACGACCAGATCGTGATCTGCGAGCTCGCCCCCGTGGAGCACCTGTCTCGCCAGCTCCAGCTGATCGAGGGGCGGGTATTCGAGGAGCGCGCGCGCAGGAGGTCGGGCACTTCCTCGACGCGGGCGAGACGAAGGGCAACCTGCGCATCAGTCCCGCTCTGGTGGATTGGATAGCAGAGCAGATGAAGAACGAGGCCGCAGTGGCTCAGGAACGACGCAAGGCTCGCGAGGAGCGAGCCTTGCGGGCCCCACGACGCACCCCGAGGACGCCGCCCAGGGAGGGCCCCCCGAGCACGCCGTTTCTGCTCGAGAGCCTGGTCAGCTACGCCCTGAGCCCTTCGGGACCCCGCCGGGTCTGGAGTCGCCCGCGCGCGGTGACCATCGCCAACGCGACGTTGTTCCTCGTTTCCTTTCTTCTGGTGGATGGGCGACGCCACCACCCCCTTGGACGAGCTGCTCGCACGCGTGCCGCCACAGGCGCGGGCTGGAGGGAGTGGCGCAACGAGGGGTCGACCGCTCTCAACATGGCCCCACTGCGGCAAGGACGAGCCGCGCGAGCCCAGGGGCGGCGCGCGCGCGCCCGCGGTGCAGGCAGCCTCTGCGGAGTACCTTGCGGACCAGCACCGCGAGTTCGAGCTGCACACCGCCTACCCGGAGAGGGGCAGCGCCTGCGAAGCATCATTCGTAGAGATGCTCGCTCAGGCACTGGGCTACTGGCGACAGCGGCCGGGTGCGCCCCTACAGCAAGCCTCTCGCGGCCTGGCCCGAGTCGACGAAGGCGGCCCCCGCCGCCGACGTCGTCGCCAAGGCCGACTCCACCGCGCTGCAGGGCTGGAGGCAGAGCATGCTGAATCCCGAGTCGGTCGCGGCGGAACTGCGTGAGTCTCTGGCGGCGCCGCGGCCACACGTGGATCCTGAGCCTCGCCGTCGGCCGAAGTCGCGCGCCCAGCTTTTGAAGCAGCTGGAGGCCCGCGACACGATGTCACGACAGGCCGCCAGCCCACAGCCCTCTTTTACAATTGGTTTGCTCTTTGTGGAGAAGTCCGACCACGTGCTCGGGCTCGCATTCGACACTCGGTTGGCCAACTGCATTTTCACGGCGCCGCCAGCCGCAAGGCTGCCCACGCCTAGCGCGCGGGCCTGCGCCGACTGCGACGACAGCTGCGTCTTTGCCCAGGGCGACATCCAGTGCGCGTTTTATCACCTACGCTCGCCTGCTGGAATGGAGTCGCTGTTCTCGCTGCCCGCGATCTTCAATAGATACATCGGTTTCAAATCCATCAATGGTGCCCCCATCGGTCTCAACGGCTTCGCCCAGCCCTTGGCCACTGCGGCCCCCATGGGGCGGCGCTGGCCCCTTCGCTTTTGTCAGAGTGCCCTAACGAGAGCTCCCTCCGACTTTGGATTCCAGGATACAGAGATGATCCTGGACGGTGGCAGCCCGCGTCCCTGCGTCTCCCCGACGGGCGCCTTGTGCGCGGGGTGCGTCAGTACTGGTTGCGTCGCGTCTAAGAGTCCAGAGATAGCCACGCCCCGTGCCAGCGCCATCGCCAACCTCCTCACTGCTCGCGGCCTGCCCGTCCTGGACTTTTCGCTTGCCGTCAGCAAGGTGTCTTCACGGGGCTGCAGATCGACGGGCTGTCAGGGCTTGTTCGCGCGCGTCCCGATCGGCTCGCCCGCGCCCGCCAAGCAGTTCTCGGGCTACTTCGACGCGGGCGGGCCTCTTCTGGGGCCCTCCGCGCGCCGGTGGGGCACTGTACGTGGGGGGTGATCTTGAGACGTGACGTTCTGGCCATCTTCAACGCCGTCGATCGGTTAATCGGCGTCGCGGGCCCTCATCCTGGGCCCTTCTGGGAGTCTGTAGTCAGGGGGCTGAGGGCCGCGGTGGCCCTGATCCCGCTTTGGAGTACCTCTACCAGGTCTCGGTGGCACTCACCGGCCGATGCTTCTGACGCTTCACCGTTCGGGAAGGGCGCGTGCATCAAGGACCCCCCCTGCGAGCTAGTTTCGGGGATCGGCCGGGCCGCCGAGAAGTGGAGGCGCCACCATGGGCCCAACGTGTCCGCCAGGGCCCATTCCCTCGACAACGCGGGCCCCCATCGCGACGCCGCTGACACTCGCCATCGCGCCACGCCACCGCCGTCTACGCCATCATCATCGACGGGCTGCCCCGGCTTCCTGGAGGCCCCTGAGTCTGTCTACGGGTCCGAGGGCTGGAAGACTATTCGCTCGAGTCGCCACACCCGAACTGGGTGCAATATCTTGCAGTACGAGGCCGAGGCCCTGGGGTTCAGCGCCCACCACGCGCCCGGGACCCCGGGGGCCCATCACCATCGCATCGTCTGCATCGTTGACAACTTGGCTCTTGCCCTCTCCGTCGGGAAGGGGCGTTCTGGCAGCCCTCACCTCGCGCGCGCGCCCCGAGGCGCATCGCGGGCGCGGCCCTGGCACGCGGTTTCCGCGCGCTGGCGCGCCAGGTGCCTTCCGAGGGGAATGTCTCGGACAAGCAGTCGAGGGAGGGTTTCTGCGCCGGCCCGAGCTTCGAGGACTTCGCCTCGGGCCAGGTCGCGCGTCGGCCTCGCCCCCCCAAGCGAGGCGGCCAAGACGGCGAGGGAGAGGGCGGCCCACCCTGGGCCCCACCGCCTCCCGCGAGGCAGCCCGCCGCTGCCGGACGGCGCCACGGCCTCGGCGACGACGGGCAGGAGCTACCCAGCCCACGCCCCGATGTTGCTGAGCTGGCGCCCGTGGGCCGCAAGGCCCTCCGAGGTCGGCGCCGTGCTGGGCGTCGCCCCGGCGGTGCTCTTCGCCCATCTCATCGTCGACGCCCACTCCAGCGCGACGGGCTGCGCGACGACGGCCGCGCTCAACTTCCACTTCCCCCTGGCGCTGGCGGGGAGCAGGCCGCCGCCCAGGGGCGCTTGCTCCCGCCAGGGCTGGGCCAAGCTCGCGCCGCCGCCGACGCGCCTGCCACCGGCGCGCGTCGCTCTGCTCGCGACCGCGGGCGCGCTGCTAGCCCAGGCGCGCTTCGGGGAAACCTGCCCGTGGAGCGCCCCCCCCGACCGGGCGCCCCAGACCTCCAACCGCCCCCTGATCCCGCTTTACCTCGACAGGGACCAGACCTCGCCGCACTCGCTGAGCCACGGGGGAGCGCGCGGCGACCCCAGGATGGTTCCAAGAGGCCTCCAAGAGGCTCCAACAGGCCGCCATGAAGCTCCAAGAGACCCCCAAGAGGTCCCAAGAGGCCCCCAAGAGCCCCCGAAGAGGATCCCAAGCGGCCTCAAGAGGCCCCCCCCCGAAGCACCCAAGACGCCCAAGAGCCCCCATTGACCGCCAAGAGACCCCCAAGACGCACGAAGAGGCTTCTAAAAGGCTTCCAAGAGGCATCCGAGCGGCATCCAACCATGCACCCAGCGTCATCATTCTCTTCATCCCTCCTTCACTCGGTTCCTCGCCACCCCCTCATCTATCCATCTGGCCTCCTTTTCCGCCTCATCCTTTGCACAGATCGGCTGTCCCTCTCGTTGCTCCCCCACTTCCCTGATCTCTTCAACTTGGCTGGACATCGTTTCTGGATGGGCTGGTGGGGACACGCGAAGCGTCAAGAATTTTGTGCACCTGCATGCCGGATCGCGTTCGGCGAGCTCGCGAATCTCGCGGGCTCGGATCTGCGACCACCAACCCCGTTCGGCGCCGTCGCGACGACGCTGGCGACCCTCAGGCACTGAAGACTCTGATAGGAAGGGTCCGCTCCTCGGCGGCCCTCGGGCTGTGGGCCCCCCGCCCCTGTGCCACCTGGAGGACAGGGGCCGTTCGGATGCGCCGTCTTGATTCTCCGTTGGAGAGGGCGACGGGCGCGCGAAGGCCGACAGACGGGCCCTCCGCGTCGCGAACGCCCTTGCCGCCGCCACCTTCTAGGCTCATCTCGGAGCGCATCTCCTACGGGGCCCCGAGCATTTTTTTGCGCACCCTGGGGCCAGCCTGATTTGGAAACATCCCCTCCTGACTCCTCCCCTCGCCGCCCCCTCCCCCTCCTGCCCCCTCGACTCCTTTTATGTTTTCTGGCCGAGTCAGGCAGGGGATGTTCATGGTAGGTTGGGGCGCCACCGACCTCGGCCTCCTCGCGCGCCGCTGCCACTGCCCCCACGGCCTGTGCGACCGCACAGGGCGGCGCCATTTGGGTGGCCTCGGTCGTCCAGCGCTGGACGCCGTCGCCCGAGCATCTGCGAACGGGCTCCCCTTTGAAATTGCCAGCGCTGGCACGGACATGATAGTGGCCGCCGCTCGGCAGCTGTCCCGTTCCGCCAGGTACAAGAAAGTTGTTGGTCAATGAGTTTGTCGGCTATGGCCATGTGTCGGGACTAGCGTGAGGTACCGAGTCTGTGCTTCACCAGCGGTCGTCTCGAGCTCGTGGCCGCCCTTCGCCGCTTGCACAAAAAAGAAGGAAGGTGGCCCCCGATCTATCCACATACAGCGACTTGTCGGCAGTTGTGGATTATCCGTGGCCGCAACACTTTCGCTCAAGTTCTTCCCAGGGCCCCCCTGCCCAACTTGAGTACAAAGAAGAATCTGTTTCACCGAGTCTGTGCTTCACCAGCGGTCGTCTCGAGCTCGTGGCCGCCCTTCGCCGTTTGCACAAAAAGAAGGAAGATGGCCCCCGATCTATCCACAACACTATTATCAACAGCAATCTCGCCATCCTCATCATCATCAGCATCATCAGCACCAACATCGGCATCGTCAACATTATCGTTGCCGGATTCATAAGCATCATCATCAGCATCCTTGTCATCGCCACCGCCAGATTCAGCATCATCATCATCAGCATCATCACCATCAACTTCATAAACAGCAGTATCAGCATCATCAGCAACAGCAGCATCATCATCACCATCGGGGATCCTCATCCCCCCCCCATCCCCTCCCCCGATTATTAGCGATTGCCGACGCGGGGGAGTCTTTACTTTTCCCGTATTGTTGGTGACCCGATCCGTCAATAACTTCGCGCAAGAAACAAGTGTTTCCCCACTAGTGGGGGGCACTAGGGACCATTAGGCGGTTAGCCGTCTTAGGGCGGCATTTTAGCCAGTCTTGGGGTTGTTTGGAGGCATGTCGGAGACGATACTGAACCAGCTTAGGCTATATTGTGCAATCTTGGACGCTACCTGGGGCCAGCTTGGGCCAAAAAGGACCCTTTTCGCACATCGCGGGCGGAGGGTCCAGACCCAGGGGAGCAGGGCGAGGCAGGGGGGAAGGGGATTAAGGGACTTGGAAGCACGAGCGCCCTCAACTACCCACGACCAGAGGGCCAATGGGACGACGGTGCCCCTCCGTTGCTTTGCAGCACAGTGGAAGCCCATGCCAAGAAGCATCCTGCTTGCCTCCAGAGTGCCCTGGGCGTTTTGGGTTTCGATGGTTTTGCTGTGGAAAGCGTGACGTTCCCACACCAAGAATCAATGGACGCCTTGGGGTTCCAGGGTTGGGTTTTTTGTGGGAGGTGTCTTGTGGTCGGGCCTCCACTGTAGACCTCCCCAAATCGCCAGTTCCTCCCCCTCGCTCGCTCAGGAAGCTACGGGAGGAGGGGAGGGGCAGTCCGCGCGCAGAGGGTCTGGAGCCTCCTTCTCCTCCTGCTTCTCTCCCTCCTCCTCCTCCTCCTCCTCCTCCTCCTCCTCCTCCTCCTCCGCCTCCTCCTCCTCCTCTCCTCCTCTCCTCCTCTCCTCCTGCACCTGGTCCTCCTCCTCCCTCCCCCTCCTCCTCCTCTCTCCTCCTCCTCCTCCTCCTCCTCCTCCCCCTCCTCCTGCTCCTGCTCCTGCCGTGTTCCTCCAACTCCTCCGCCTCCTCCTCCTCCTCCTCCTCCTCCTCCTCCTCCTCCTCCTCCTCCTCCTCCTCCTCCTCCTCCTCCTTCTCCTTGTCTTAACAGGCGGCCATCCATCCTCCTTATGTTCCTTCTTTTCCTTCTCCTCCTGCTCCCCCTCCTCATCTCGCCACCAGCCTCGAAAAATCTAGCACCTTCAGCCTCAAGGACCTGCAGCACGTCGTGCCCTCACCCGCCCCCTATTGTAGAAGCCGGCCGCCCGCGTCATGGCCATCCGCGCCGCCTCTGTGCTGCTCCTGCTGGCGTCCGCGCAGGCCGCTGTGACGCACACCAGGCCAGGGCCATCAGTTAATTGTTTGAAGCCAGCACCCGAGCGACGCAAGAAAACAGGGTCGTTTACGCCGACATTGGCGCGTAAGCTTTCCGCGTAAGCCCGCGCGTAAGCGCCCTTGTTTCCGATGTTGCGTGCCGCGCTGGCGGCCCGCGTAAGCTGCGGCGTAAGGTCGCTGTGCCATCTCGCGTAAGATCAATTTTTTCGTCGCCCAGTTAATCGTTGAAGCCCCCACCTCTTCTCGATGCAGACAAAATCCGCCGATCCGGCGTGCGAGCTTCACAGACCCTAAGCTACAGCCTACAGCCTGAGATTCAGCTTTGCTGGGGCGGGTGGGGGCCAGGGGGGCTCTGCCGGGGAAGGAGGGGTGGGGGGGGGTTGCGCTTGTGCTCCGTTTTCTGGACGGTACCCGGACATGTAAAATTCCGCCAAATTCGCACCCAGTTGCCAGAGAGCCCAAGATGGCCGCCAGATATTTCCCAGACGGCTTGAGATGCACCCAAGATGGCCCAGGATGCCCTCCTACAAAAGGCCCGACGAGGCCCAAAGCATTCATTGATGTTCTGCATGTTTTTGACGGATTTGACGCTGCATTCGTTTCGGCCTTCCGGCGGCCCCAGAGGCCCCTAAGATCGCTCCAGAGGCCTCCAAGATGGCCCTACGACGGCCCAAAAGGCTCCTAAGACGGCCCCAAAGAGGGTCAGAAGGAGGCCCCGTGGGCCCTCAAGACGACCAAGATAGCCTCCAGGACGGCCCTGAATGCTCCCAGACGGCAAAGCGAGGCGCCCAAGACGGCTTCGGACGGTGTCCGACGGGCCAGGAACGCCCTGAGACAGCCAAAAAGGCTTCCAAGAAGCCCTCAAGAGGCTCAAAGAACCTCTCCAGAGGCCTCCGTCTGCGACGGCCCCAAGAGGGCCCCAACGCGACCCCATAGGCCTCCGAGCGAATCCGAGCACCACCGGGAGCGACCCGGATCGACGGCACTGGCCGGAGGCCACTACAGTCGGCCCTGATTAGTAGGCAATCACGACGGGAGGTGTGTGGCGACGTTCCGCTTCCAGTGGCCCTCGCCGGGCCCAGGGACCGTCGGAGAGCCAGAAGCATCGGAGGCCTGCAAGATGCGGGCTTGCCGGAATTCGGAGCTGCTGCTTTTGGTTCACTGCCCCGGGAAGAGTTTTGGCGGTGCAGTGAGAGGGATGCTTGCGGAGGGGGAGTCCGCGTCAAATGTCATAGGGGGTCTCGTCATCACGGCCCCGTCAGGCAAGTTCGAGGCCTAAAATGTCGAGTCTTACGTTAGGATGTTCCAGCCTACATTAGCCTTGATCACCAGAAAGAATTTCGAGCAACCAGAAAATACCGAAATTTGAGGGTTTTCACGTGTCGGGCCCTGGGAGTCGACACTCGTTCAACTCTGTCTCGACACTTTTCTGGATGCCCGAAATGATTTCTGGAATGTGGTCTTTGAGTAGGATAGGAGCAACATAAGTCTTCCGTCTCGCTGGAAGCCGAGGAAGTGCAGGCATGGACTCAGGCACGTGGGCTGTCGGCGGGTCCGCTTTTCAGTGCAGAAAAATCGGCGAGCTCCGTGGCAAGCTCGGGCAGCGTTGGCCTCATGCTTCGGGCGGCGCCATCCCTCTCCTCCTCCTCCTCCTCCTCCTCCTCCTCCTCCTCCTCCTCCTCCTCCTCCTCCTCCTCCTCCTCCTCCTCCTCCTCCTAATTGGGGGGGCGCCACGGGCGCCCCCCCCACCTCAAGAGACGTCCCAAGAGACGTCCTCCTCCTCCTCCTCCTCACGTCACAGATCCACGAATCCGTAGTCCATGTCAGCGTGCGCCCGAGAAATGGAGGTTCAGTAAGTGGGTCCGTGGGGGCACGCCTTCTTCTGGTCAGCGGGGCGCCCAGACTCACAGGAGTCGGCTGGCGATGACCCTCAGGGCTTTGCTCAGTGCTCTCCTTCCTTCTCCTCCTCCTCCTCCTCCTCCTCCCCCTCCTCCTCGTGCCTTCGAAAAACCCGGTCTTAAGTAACATTTTCGCCCTGGCCCCCGGGCAATAATTGTCTCGGGTGCTCTTTCGCTGTCCCTGCCACGTGCCTGATAGCGTCTCCGTATTCTTTGGTGGTCGGCTGCCCACGCAGCCCGGCTTCCCTCCATGGCCGGGGGCAGCGGCCATGCGAAGTTGTCGTGGCATCCAGCCGCCGTGGTCGACGTGAGGAAAAAAAAAAAAAAAAAAAAAAAAAAAAAAAAAAAAAAGTAAGTGGGTCCGTGTCGTGTCGACGCGGCGGCGACCCCAGCGCAGGCGGTCCAGGTTGAACGCCGCCGGTGGCCCAGAATCGGCCAATACGCGTCGATCTGGCGGCCGAAGAGCCGTCCCAGGGTGGGGCTGGGGAGCGAACCCCGGCTGGATGCTCACCTTTCCTTCTTCCAGAAGCCGTTTAGAGCGATGTTCCTCCCAACCCCCCTTCTGCCCCTACCCCACCTCGGCTCCTCGCTGTCCTGCCTCTTCCTGTCCCTTGCCTTGCCCGCGTTTCTTTGTCGGCCCGTCCCGTCGTCGGAATAAGAGATCCGGGGGCCCGCGCTGCCACGCTGGCGAATGGCCGGGCGTGTTCTGCATTGTTTGCTGGTCAGACCTGTTGGCCTAACCCTCACCTTTGTTTCTTCCCGGAGCCGTTTATCAAGGGAGGAAAAAACACCCGGACCGGACAATTGGCGTTTACTAAACGGCCTCGGGCGTTTACTAAACAGCCCTGCCCTGTTCGATTCCTTCAGTCGGGGCGTTTAGTAAAGGGCTTCGCGTGTCGGGGTGTTTATAGTGGGCGGGGATGTTTTGCCCTCTAGTTTAGAGCGATGTTCCTCCCAACCCCCCCTTTGCCCCTACCCCAACTTTGCGCCAGCTCGAAGGAGGAGGAGGAGGAGGAGGAGCAGGAGGGGGAGGGGGGAGGAGGAGGAGGAGGAGGAGGAGGAGGAGGAGGAGGAGGAGGAGGAGGAGGAGGAGGAGGAGGAGGATCGCGAGCAGCAGCAGGGATCAGTCGGGTGGGGGAGCCCGCGCCCCGGGGTGCCTTGGTCGCCAGCCCGTCGCCCCGCCTCGGCGACGGGCGCCTTTGTCGGTCCTGGCGTTAAGTCGGGCCTGTCCCTTGACAGGAGGAATGTTCAGGAATCGTTAAAGCATAGTATGGGGACGATTGTCTGAGCGTCTTCGACCATTTTGAACTATGTTTTGACTCATTCTCATTTTTCCCCAGGAATCCCCCCTGTAAGAGGGCAGGCCCGACCTAATCCTGGCGTTAAGTCGGGCCTGTCCATCTACACGAGGAACAATTCAAGGATAGTCAAAAAATTGTATGGGGACGATGTTTCGACTATTGTTGATCATGTTGGTGCATAGTTTGACTATTTTGAAGTCGGGCCTGTCCCTCTACTTTCGATGTTCCGCCCAAATTCCGCTTGTAGGGGGGCATGTCCGACCTGATCTTGGCGTTAAGTAGGGCCTGCCCTCTACAGGAGGGAGATTCAAAAATAATAAAAACATAGTCTGGGGACGAGTTGTTGAGCATTGTTTTGCTATTTGGGGCATTTTTCATTATCTTCCACTTTCCGCCCAAATTCCGCCTGTACGGGGACATGCCCGACCTAATCCTGGCGTTAAGTCGGGCGTGTCCCTCTACAGGAGGAATATGCCTTACCCCAAAAAAAGTTATATAATTCTTCATTTCCATAAAAAAACCTGGGGACGCGATGTTTCGACTAGTTTGAATTATTTTGGTGTGTTGTGAAGGCCTGACGGCCGGTGCCGCCGACCCTGAAATACATCGACGACGACGACCAGGAGGGGGAGGAGGAGTAGCCTGGGGACGATCGTTCGACTATTTTCGATCATGTTGGTGTATATGTTTGGCTATTTTTATTTGTCGTCCAGAATCCGCCCGTAGGGGGGCATGCCCGACCTGATCCTAGCGGTGCTCGGGGTCTGTCAGCGGGGATCGCCAGGGAAGGCCCAGGTGAGCGATGGAAGAAAACGGGTCGACCGCGCCGACATTCACGCGCAAGCTGCCCACGGAAGGTTGCGCGTGAGCTCGTTTGTTTCCGGTGTGTGCCGCACTGGCGGCCTGCACAAGCCACCGCGCAAGATCGCGATATCATCTCGCGTAAGTCAGGAGGGGAAAAAGACACGCAGACACAATTAATCGTTAACCCCCATGGAAATATACGAAAATATGGGAAGTGGGGGGGAAGACGAAAACCCCAAAAGTATTCAAAACATTTGGAATCCTGGGATTCGTATGTATTTATTTGTGTGACCCTGGGCCCCTTCAATATCATCTCGCGTAAGACTCGTTTCTTTTCGTCGCGCAGGTGGCCACCAGAGCACCTTTGACATTGGAGCCGGCTGGGGGGCCGAGGTGGTGCAGAAGCACCTTGGTTTCGGCCAGCGGAGGGGGGAGAAAGGCCCCCTCGTCGCCACGGCTGGACGCTGCTCACAGAACTTTATCTTTCAGGCGATCGCAAACATGGATCAAGGGGACGTGGATTAGCGACGGGTCCCGGTTCCATGGGAAATCGCGGGTTCCCGCCGCCGAGCAAGGCGGCATTGGCCGCATTTTGGGGAGGGCACCTCCTCCGATCCATGGATTTGGCGACCGCGCGCCAAATCCATGGATCGCTAATCCATGTTTGCGCGCCCCCGATGTTCACAGAGCTTCAACTTGACAGCTTCGACCACGGGAGGGGTCCAGGGAGCGATGTGGGCCAGATATGCCCCAGTTCCCCCCCTCGACCGTTTTCCTCTACGCGCATCCACCGCAAACCCCCGGCCGCTTCCAACCCTCAAGAGGCCCAGAGGGCCGCAGGGGCTCCACAAAGGATCGAGAAGTTCGGGGGGGACGCCTTCGGCCAGGGACTCTTTTCTAGCACCCCCCGAAATTTGTTGGGCATGTGTGTCTCGACATCCCTAGCGGGTGGGCTACTCCCACGTTTTGCGCGTCATCTCTTCATGGGCAGCCGTTATGCAGTGAAGGCGTGCCTGTGTTGTCGGCAAGACTACGCGTTATCTTGGGTGCAGGGAGCCAAGCAAACGAAGAAAAAGAAAGGAGAAAAAGCCGCGACAGCGCGGACATTAGGTTGTGGCCATAAGCACTTCCATCGGGCCAGTCGCTGCAGTGGGGAGGGAAAGCCGTGCGCCTCTCCAGGGTATGTTGGATCCGACAAGCCTTTCAAAGGTTTCATCGTCTTCCCTTCTTGTCGAGCTAAAAACGCCCAGGGATAGTTCAGATGGGCAGAGAGCAGGGAGGTAGCGAAAAGGACGGCTAGAGGTCGAGAGGGATGGAGGGGAGAAGAGGGGAGGGGAGTCCCTGCGGGAGGCGAGGGGAGGGGTGGTGGTAGGGGGGGGAGGGAGGGGAGGGGAGGGAAGGGGAGGGGAGGGGAGGGGAGCGGAGGGGAGCGCCTGTGGGAGAAGATAGGGTGGTGGTGCTGGACGCGCAGCCGCCAAGCCTTTAAGTCGAGCCTGTCCCTCTACAGGAGGAATGTTCAAAAATAGTCAAAAATAGTAGGGGGACGATCTGTGACCATTGTTGATCATTTTTGGATTATTGTTGGGATAGTTTTTCACCTTTCTCCCAAAATTCCCTCGTAGGGGGACACGCCCGACCGAAGCCTAGCCAGGTCTTTGGCTCGGGGAAGTACCGCACGCCTGGCATTATCGTGTTGCGTGTTTGGGGTTCTCCGCCGTCCCCTCCCCGCCCTCAATATCCCATGCGCTCTCCATCTTAAAGACCCAGGGGTGTGTACGGAGGGGCTTTATCCCAGGGTGGGGCTAAGGGACGAGTCCAGCGGGATGCTCTGGTCCTTCCCCTTCCAGGGGCTTGTCAGTGCGATTCTCCTCTAACCCCACTTCTGCCTTCACCCCGCCCACGCAGGACCCGCGATCTTCTTGTCGACGATCCCCTCCCAACCTACATGGTCGGTTTCTCAGGAGGGGTGGGTTTTCTCCGCCTTGCGCCCGCACTGGTGGCGTCCCCTCCGCGAAGGCAGGGTCGTCTTCTGGCTCCTCCTCATCATCATCATCATCCTCCTCCTTCTCCTCCAGGACGAGGAGGAGGAGGAGGAGGAGGAGGAGAAGGAGCACTGGTGGCATCCCCTCTGCGAAGGCAGGGTCGTCTCCTGGCACATCCCTCTTCTCTACTGCGTCATGCGTTCCTACCCCGCTGCACCTTTGCGCTCCCCCGAAGCGAGCTCTGGGGAGAGCCCTTCAGGAGAAAAAAAAAAAAAAAAAAAAAAATGTCGATCCCTTCGAAAATATAGGAAAATATGGGAAGTGGGGGGGGAGACGAAAATCCAGAAAATATGGCAAAAAGATTGGAAATCCTTGGATTTGTGTGTATTTATTTGTGTGTCCCTGGGCCCCAGGTTCGTGTGCGGCCAGCAGACGCAGATCTTCACCTCGACCTCCGCGAACGCTGCGGGTACCGCCGAGTTCTCGGAGATCACCACGGAGGATCCCGGGCGCGTCGATCTCTCGTCGCTTTGCTCGCGGCCGACCCTTAGATCCAGGCGTGCAATTTTGTTCACACAGGGCGTCTTCGCGTTTTCGCCTGGCTTCGGGCCAGGGGACCATCAAAGACCAATCCGGTTCGAAGAACGGCGCAGAAGGACGGGGTCCAGGGATCCGGTCGTGATTCCTCTCGCTTCACGGGGTGCACGTCCGGAGCACGTACAGTCACGTCGTCGCGGGGCCTCTTGGGAGCCTCTTGGGGGCCTTCTGGAGGCCTCCTGGGAGTTTCTTTTGGCCTCTGGGGGAGTTCTTTCGGGCCTTTCCCCCCTCCCTCCTTCTCATACACCCTCCCCATCTTCCCTTCAAGCGCTGGCTCTAATCATAGGCGCCGCAGTGGCTGGCTGGCGCTGCGCCGCAGTTCGCCCAGAGGGGGGAAAATAACACTCCAGTCGCTGCGTGGCCTTTGGGGGGCTTTTTGGAGCGTTTTGGAGGCTTCTGGGGGACTTCTTGGAGGTTTCTTGGGGGCCTCTTGGGGCCTCTTGGGAGCGTCTTGGGCCGTTTTGGTGCGCTTTTGTACCGTTTCGCCCCCTCGGAGAATGTCTTGGGGGCTGTTCGCGGCCGCATTGGAGCCCTCTTGGGGTCCTCTTGGGTTTTTTTCGCGGCCTCTTGGACCGTTTTGGGGGCCTCTTTGGGCCGTTGGGCCTTCCTGGGCCGTTTAGGGGCCCTCTTGGGGGTTTCTTGGGTTGTTCTGGCGATTCTGGAAGCTGCTTGGGCCATCATATTTTTTTGAAAGTCGAAAAGGCGAGAACGATAAACTATATCAGAAACCATATGAAAATCAATGATTTCGGCCTCTGGAGGCGCAGTCGTGGGCGCTCTTAGGGGCCCTTTTGGGCTGTTCTTTGGGTTTGGGGAGCCCTCTTGGGGCCGTCTGGGGGGCCTCATGGGCCCCCGTTGGAAATATCTTGGGCCGTTTTGGGGCCATCTTGAGGCCCTCTTGGAGTCCCCACAGGCCCAAGACGCCGAATGTGTTGATTTGTCATAGGTTTTTGTAGGTTTGGGGGCCCAGAAGGAGTGCCGATCATTTTGGTCCGTTCCTGCGGCGCGGCTCCCAGGGGGGTTGGGGGGGAGACATAATAATGTAACACAATGCAACATATGGCAATTATGCAATCATTGGATACATTGGCTACGTTGCAATAAGGCGTTCGCCGAAAAACGCTGCCGCTCAGCACGTCACCTCCAGACGTGGAGTCTTTGGCTTACGCCGCACAGCCGACCCTGTTCGGGGAGAGTCGTGTTGCGGTTTCTGTTTGTTGCGTGACTTATGTTTGTAATAGATATATATATATATATATATATATATAATGTGAGAGAGAGAAGCCTATACGATCACTCTTCGGGTGATAAGGAGGTTGTGGGGGGGGAGAGGGGGGGGAACCAACATCTGACTCATTCGATCTCAATATCGATCTCATTCAACGGGACACCGTGGGACACCTCTCGATCTCATTTCGGTATCACTATCGATTTCACTCAAAGGGACACTATAGGACACTTCGGGACACCACATCGATCTCACGATCGATCCCACTCTCACCCAACGTGACACCACGAGACAACTGTCGATCTCACTATCGAAATCACTTTTTGGGACACCACGGGACACCTCGGGGCACCACATCGATCTCATTATCGATTTCACTATCGATCTCACTTTTTGGACCACCGCGGGACACCACGGGACGCCTGTCGATCTCATTATCGATATCACTAGCGAATTCATTTTTTGGGACACCACGGGACACTTCGGGGCACCATATCGATCTCCTAATCGAGCTCATTATCGATCCCACTCAACGGAACACCGCGAGCCACCGCCGGACGGGCGGGCGGGGGAGAATCATTTGTCTTGACTTCGCCCTAGCAGCGGCGGGGACTACGGGACACCATGGGACACCGCGAGAGACCGCCGGACGGCCGGGAAGGAGAAAATCATTTGTCTTGATGTCGCCCTAGCAACGGCGGGTTCAGTCCTCTCGCGCGCCCACGCAGCTTCGCCTCGCCCGCACGCACGACATGAACGAAACGAAACGATTTCCCGGATGGTGGTGTCCGTTCTCTTGCGATATCCCCCCCCAATTTCCGATACATGTATCGGTATGTGAATATATATAATGTATATATACATACATGCATACATATATATATATATATATATATATATATATATGTGTATGTATGTGTATGTATGTATGGGTATGTGTATGTATATATATATATATATAAACAACTATGTGCGTGTACATGTACATATATATATATATATATACATACATACATATATACGTGTGTTCCCCTTTTTAAAGTAGAAGCAACAGCCAGCTGACGAGTGTGCCGTAATTCGGTTTCTGGGTCAAGTTCTACCCCAAAAAAATGTCATTTTTGTGGGGGGGGGGCAAAGCGATTTTCGAGGGGGCGGCCAACTCTCTCGTTACTTCGTCTTCGGCCGCCCTCTTCACGTGGGCCAACCGCGTTCCCTGCCCAGACTGCTCGCCCGTGGTCAATTGCGACTGCCCGTCGTGCCCCGCCGTGACGCGCGGCGACCAGATCAAGCAGGAGGCTAGCGAGCCCTCCCTGCTGTGGTCGGCTGGGTGGTGGCTACTCCTGGTGAGTATCGGTTTCGTCCTGGGGCGCTTGCCCTTCGCAGGGGCCCAGGGCGCCCACCACCGGCCGCGCGGTCGGCGGGCGACGGTGGCGGAGGCGCTCGAGGCGAAACCGATCGCGGAGCAAGCCCGACAGCAGCTGGAGGCCATCGCGCTCAAGCGCCGAGGCCTCGAGGGCCCCCCCGTAGCCTGTGATGGCCGCCGCGGTCGGCAGCCCCGGGGTCTACAATGTGCTGACCCTGGATGATGATGACTACGACGAGGACACCGCGGCCGCGGCGGACATCATCAGAGCGGCTCGGCTGCCGCAGGGCATGCAGGGAGTGGTGCCGCCATTGATCGGCGGCGCGGTGGCTCCTGCGCCTGCGCATCGCTTTCGCACCGTGCCCCTGCCGGCTCGGCTCATCGCCGCAAGGGCGGCCGGAGCCGCCCGCCCTCTTGGGCTAAGCGCTGCCTGCCAGACCCTTTCAGCTGAACACGGTCGGGCGGCCACTCTCAGTCGGCGAAGGCACTCCTGTGGCCACTGGCGGTCTTGACGGGGGCGACTACTTCGCGCTTCGCTACAACATCCCAGGGGCGGTCCTCTGGCACGAGCGGGTGGTGGTCTTCAAGCTTGGCCCACCGCCTGCCGCTGCCGCCCTGCCGGCTGGAGGAGGCCTTGCCGCCCTGGTTGCCGCCCTCGGAGGGCCCGCCGCTGCTGGCGCGCCCGCAGGGGCCCTGGCGCCGCCCGCCGCGGCCGCCCCTGGCGGCGCCGCGGTGGCAGCAGGTGCCTTGCTGCCTGGTGTTGCCGCTGGCGCTGCCGCCGTTGGTTCCGCGAGTGGAGGCAGAGCCGCTGCGGCTGCCGCTGGGCCCGCCGCTGGAGATGCCCCCCTCGTCGCCGGACCAGCGGGAGGTTTCCTCGCCAGCGCCACAGGAAGACCCGCAGGTGGGAGGGCAGTTGTGGCCGCCACGTTCGACCTAAGGGTGCAGCCCGTCGGGATCGACACTCAGGGGGCCCCCTACCGGGAGTTCAGGGCTGCCGTCTCGAGCTTCACTGTCACACCCTTCGCGGATTGGCCAGCGCGTGGACCTCGCACCCTCCCATGGGTGAGCAAGTTCATCGTCGCGAACGCGGGGGGTCGCCGGTTGCCAGGCATAACCGCTGGAAGGCGGAGGCTCGCCTGACAAGCTCTGAGCCCGGGGTGGAGGAGCACCTCCGCGCGCGCATGGCCTTATAAACGGCCGCCTGCTACGATCAGTTGAACATCGCAGAGGCGGCGTCGTTCGAGATGTTCGGGCGGTCTTTCCAGGCACAGGAGGAGCGATACAGAGACCGCATCATCGGGGCCGAGGATAGGGTCGACCCTCATCTCTTCCCGGGCCCAGACCTCGCCAGGGGCAACGTCCGCGTGGCCCCCGATCACCAGGACTGGATCGCACAGGAGCTTGCCAAGGAGGTCTCGGCAATGAGAGAAAGAGAGACAGAGAGAGAGAGAGAGAGAGAGAGAGAGAGAGAGAGAGAGAGAGAGAGAGAGAGAAACAAAAAAAGGAGATAGAGAGAGAGAGAGAGAGAGAGAGAGAGAGAGAGAGAGAGAGAGAGAGAGAGAGAGAGAGAGAGAGAGAGAGAGAGAGACGCAAGGCCCCGGAGGAGCGAAGTGCGAACCGCCAGAAGGGCCCGAAGAAGAACGGCAAGGACGGGAAGGGCGAGCAGGGGCGAGCCCCCCTGTCGACGCCAGCGCGGGGGCACTGGCGCCAGACGGACACATGATTGAGCCCTCTCCGACCGATGCGCCACGGTCGGGTCGGGCATGAAACCTGATGGCGCTGCCTCTGTTCGTGCCAGAGACATATTTCCTCTCCCCCTGCTTCCCTCCCCCCCCAGGCCTGTCCACGGCGCCCCTCTCGTGAACAGGGGCGCTCTCCGACGCCATCGCAGGGTCATGCACTCGGTGGATTCGGTCAATGACGCAATCTCTTGTCTCAGCAGTGCGCACGGCGTCGGGCCACCCTCTCGCAGCGCGAAGCCTACCTCTTGCCAGAGGAGCACCCTCAACCGCTCGGGTAAGCAGTTCCGCGAGGTCGGCCCCCAGCCCGCCGATCTCTCTTCCGGCGCGGGAGCCCTCGGCGAGCTCTGCGCCGCTTGCGGTTAGCACGACTCCTCGGAACCGCTAGGCGACCGTTTCCCATGACCTCGTCTCCTGGCCAGGCGAAGGCACCCGCACAGCTCCACAGAGTGAGCTCCTCAGCCCCGGCGATTCTGAATGGATCGGCCGCGCCCGGGTGAACTTGCTACGGCCCTCTGATGAGGCTCGGAGTTTGATGCGAGAAGCTTGTCCTATGGGGCCACGCGTGGACCCG